GCCCCCACCGGTGTCCCAGCGTGGGCGCTTACAGCCGGCCCCGGGGAAGGCAGCTTGTGGAAATGCGGCGTGAAGGCAGGGGGTCGGCGAGAGCGACCGGGGACCCTCGCCCAGCGCTGGGCACCGGGGGGGCAAAGGCTCCGCTGCCCCCGAGCACGGCGCCTGCTCACGTCATGGGGCTGACCTAGGGCAGAGGAGGCAAAACCAGATCTGCTGGGCCAGCACCATGGCGCAATCCCCCGCCCTGACTCCGGCTCATCCCGGGGCTGCCGGCGCCCAGCCCGGGCCAGGAGCCGCCTCTCCGGGGGGCACAGCGCATCCCAGCCACATGGCGCCAGGCCCCTTGGAGCTGAGCAGGTCCTCTGAAGCGGGGGATCTCTTGGGAAGGCAAAGGTCCCCATGAGCCAGCTCTAATTTTGGAGCGACCAGGACGTGCTCAGGTCCGCTCCCCTCCCCTGCATCAGCTGGGCTGAGCCTTCACCCGAGCACCCTGTGTGTGCGGGTGCCACGTCCCGGCGGGTGCCGGTGGGTGCTTCCCAGCCCAAGCCAGACGCCCTCCCCGGCTCTGTGCAGCCAGCCGGAGGGGCCGTCTCCCTGGCTGGCTGCAAGATGTTGGTGGAACAGCTGCTTTGATTTGCAAAACGCTGATTGCCAGGATATCTTACATTCCAGGAGGCTGGGGGCGACTCTTAGGGTTGCAGAGCTCTGGGGAGTGGAAATTCCTGCGCCCGAGCCAGCCCCGGGAGTTGCTGGAGTTACATTCGCCCTCGTCCCGCCTGCGCCGGGGCTGCAGCAACCCCCCGAGATGCCTTCGGCTCCGACACACGCGTCCTTGGCCAGACATCGGCACTCTGAAGTTGCCGTTTCACAACTGACAGACCCCGGGAGATTGATGAAACATTCCCAAAAGGAGGGAGCGATGGGGAAAACACCGCGGCACAATGGAGGCGTCTGCAATTGTAACAGCCCTCCTGATTTTCTGTAAACTAGGCCACTTCCCCTGCTCTTCCTTATCCTTGAATCACCTCAGTCGGCGCCTGAGAGTAAACATGGAGTTGTGTCCTTGCCCATAACCGCCTTCTGCTCCTGGCTTACAGGCAGCGTTTCTGTGCCGTGAGGTGTCCGTGCCGGCCTCGGAGCCGGGCAGCTCTGTGCACACGGATTGCGGCCCTGCCTCACGGCTACGGCGTGCGGTGGGGAGGCAGGAGACTCGGTTCTGGGCTCTGACGAAGCTGCGTGACCTTGGTGCTGCGCCGCTGCCTCCTCTTGCCGTGCTCTGCTTTGCCAAGGGTCGGGGGCTGCTCTCCCCGCTGCCCGGCCAGGCAGTGGACTTGTGCTGTCCCTGTTTTTCAAAGAGGGAAAAGAGGAATGAGGGTATGGAGTGATTTTTCCCAAGGTCACGCAGAGGTAGCGGCAGCATCACCACCGGCTCTGTGTCCCCAGCTCTACCCGACGATGTGGCCATGAGGCCACCAAGGCGTGCAAGCCAAGCGTCAGTGGAAAAGCCCGTGGAGAGGAAACTGTCCCCAGCAGGGTCAGGCAGGGCTGGAGGCCTGGCGGTCCCTCCCCTTCGGACCCAGACCTCACCCAGGTGGGTTTAAATGAATGCCTGTTGTGAAAGGGAAAGCTGCTGTCCCGCCGATGAAGCGGCCTGGGCTGGCGAGTGAGCGACAGAGCACAGACCCTGAAATGGGGGGGTTGGCCACTCAGGACCATTTTTTTGGCAAGGTGATGCCAAGGTGAGCGAGAAGGGGAAGCAGGACCAGGACAAGCTGAGAAATAACCTCCACGCTAACGCTCTTTGATAGCCCTCAGCATCCCCCCAGCGCCGCGCGGGTAAAGCCCTCCAGCTCCACTCCCACCGCTGCCGCTCGAGAGGCTCCCTGAGAAAAGGTTCAGGATGGTTGGCAAGGCAGAAATACAATTTAATTTTGCCGCAGCGCTTGCTCTGGCAGCGGGGTGGCCTGCCCTGCCCAGCCTGCGCGGTCCGAGGTGCCAGCAGCCCCCTCCTCGTTAGGCAGAGGTAACGAAGAGGGAGGTGAACTGTGCGGGGCTCGGTGGCGCAGGTTGCTGTGGCGCAGGGTGATGCTGCGTAACGATAATGAAAGACCCCAAAATAGGCCACGGCCACGGCAACTTGCAGGGCAAACGGCATCCCTGCAAGGTGCCTGCTGCAGAGCAACTCCAGTCGGGTTTATTTCTGTGAGATGGAGGGGAAAGGCAGCGTACGGCTCGGGCGGGGATCAGGCTTCCCCCTCCAGCAACAGCTCTGGGCCCTGTCCAGTTCTCAGCCTTCACAGAGCCTGGGCTGGCCTCCCGGCCAAGGAGCCCCCTAACAGCTCCTCCACCTCCGCTGCCCAAAAAGGGGCCAAACCCACCTGGCTGCATTCTGGTCGCTGCACAGCTTTAAAGCACCTCAGTGCTCTTGTGCCTTTCCCGTGTGTTCTCACACCCCAAGCCACTCTTCCTCTGCTGAGGTGGGTCTCCATCCTCACCTCCTCCCCAGGCAGCCCCACCAGCTGCAGGGGGGGAAGGAGAGCAGAGCGAAGGTGACAGCCAAACTGAGGATGCTCTTTCCCAACCTGTGTCTCGCCCGGCACACCCCCTCCTCCTCCGAGCCAGGGGAACTGAGCTCACCTGAAGTCTGGCAGGATCAAAACCAGAAGCGAGCGCTAGGCTCAGCACGCACAAGAAAGCAGCGGTCGGTCTGACGGCTCTTTGGAGATGGCAAACCAACCCACTCCAGCCCCTTCCCATCTCACGGAGGCCAACGGAGATTCCTGGCCAGCTGACGGATGGCGTAAGCACTTTATTGATTTCTGCATTCAGCGTAGGAGAGATTTAATTGAAATATGGAGGTTTCTAACCCCAGTGTCAGCCTCTCAGCAGGGATGTTGCTGTGCAAAGCAGCCAAGGTTGTGCCATTCTCTTCCAAACGCCGTCTCCTGCTGGGAACATACATGTGGAAAACGGAGATCCCTCCCAGAGAGGGACGCGCTTGCACACATTAACCATGCACACCATGGCAGGACCCAAAAGCAACCTTCATGGAGCGGTACCCCTGTACTGACACTGAATATGGCCTCGTCCTTTTGGCATTTATTGTTAAATAAACCCCTCCTGGCTTATATAGGACCCAGAGGCCAAATTAAGGCTTGACTCAAGTATAATTCAGTTAAAAGCAGAAATGTATTGAGCACCGAAGCATGCAAATCTTTATGCGTGCAGTAAAAACCAGAGTTGGATACATGCGCAGAGCTGGGCTGGGGCCAGCCAGCAAACTCCCGGGAGAGGTTTGGGTACCAGCACACAGTGGCTGTCCGGGAAACTCCAGGGCTTGCTCGCCCCCTCTGCCTCTGACAGATTTCTCTAATATGACGTAGGTGTGGGCTGAGAAGAGCTAGAA